GGGGGGGATCTTCTCCGTCTGTCTCCAGCTCCTTCAGCGGCTCCGACCCTCATTAGCCATTTCGGTCACGCAGCCCGGTTGTAAATCCGCCGCCAGAACCGCGGTGCCCCTCACTCCCGACCTGCAGCCCCCTGCCCCCCCAGCTCTCCCCCCCCAGCCCTGACGGTGCCCCTCACTCCCGACCCGCAGCCCCCTGCTCTGTTGGATTCTCTGCTGAGACCTGGAAGCTCATCACAGCGGACGCTGGTTTCTCTGTGGTTCTCCCAAGTCCCCGCTCCCTTTTTCTCACCCACTCCCCCACCCGGCCGCCTGCTCAGGGTACATTTCCTGACAACCCAGGGCTGGGAGGGGGAGGGGCTCCAGGGTGTCTCTCTCCATAGCTGACCCCCGTCTCCCCCCAGGTGCCCTCCCCAATGGAGTAGCTGGACGGGGGCCCATGGGCAGCGCCCCACACAGGAGGTGGCGTCAGCGGGCAACATGCCCAGCGTCCTGGGGCTCCTGCTGGCCTGGCTGGGGGGTTGCGGCTGCACCGGACGCCTGGGTCCCCCCTGGCCGGGCTCCCGGGGGGCCCCACCCCAGGGCTGGGAACGCCCCCTGCTGAGATCCCGACGCAGCTGGGTCTGGAACCAATTCTTCGTCATCGAGGAGTATGCCGGCCCTGAGCCTGTCCTCATCGGCAGGGTGAGCACCCGGACACCTGGGTCCTGTGGGTGGGGGAAGGGCCCGGATACCTGAGCCCCATGGGTCGGCGGAGGGCCTGGACACCTGGGTATTCTGGAAGGGATGCGGCCTGGGGTCTTGTGGTTAGAGCAGGTGTGGAGCTGGGAGTCAGGACTCCTGGGTTCTATCCCCGGCTCTGGAAGGGGAGTGGGGTCTAGTGGTTAGAGCAGGGGCGGCTGGGAGCCAGGACTCCTGGGGTCTCTGACTGGACAGGGCTGGTGCTTCCACTAGGCGACCCTAGGCAATCGCCTAGGGCGGCAGGATTTGGGGGGCGGCATTTTTCCTCAGCGGAAAAAATCAGCGGCTGTGGGGTCCTCCTGCTCCGGGTCTTCGGTGGAAATTCGGCGGCAGGTCCTTCACTCGCTCCGGGACCCGCTGCCGAAGCGCCCCGAAGACGCGGAGTGGAAGGACTCCCCTCCGCCGAATGCTCTGAGGAGGAGCTGCCGCCTAGGGCGGCAAAAACCCTGGCACCACTCCGGTGCCTGGATCTGGAAAGGGAGCGGATCCTTCAGAGGGCCGCAAGCCCGGACGCCTGGGTCCTACGCGCCCCTCTCCCCCCAGCTGCACTCGGACGTGGACCGGGGCGAGGGGCGGGTCAAGTACGTGCTGACGGGCGAGGGGGCCGGGACGGTGTTTGTGATCGACGAGCGGACGGGGAATGTGCACGTGACCAAGACGTTGGACCGGGAGGAGAAGGCCCAATACACGCTGCTGGCCCAGGCTGTGGACCGGGCATCGAACCGGCCCCTGGAGCCGCCCTCTGAGTTCATCATCAAAGTGCAGGACATCAACGACAACCCACCCGTCTTCCCGCACGGCCCCTACCATGCCACTGTGCCCGAGATGAGCAACGTGGGTGAGTGCGCCCGCCTGGGCCAGCCTGCTGCTGCCCCTCACTCCCGAGCCGCAGCCCCTGCTAGCCCAGTCCTGCCCCCCCCCCCCTGCCGGTGCCCCTCACTCCTGACCCGCAGCCCCTGCTAGCCCTGCCCTGCCCCGCCCCCCACCAGCTTTGCCGGTGCCCCTCACTCCTGACCCGTAGCCCACCCCCCTCACTGTGCTCTCCCCCCAGGCACATCCGTGATCCAGGTGACGGCCCATGACGCTGACGACCCGAGCTACGGGAACAGTGCCAAGCTGGTGTACATGGTGCTGGAGGGGCTGCCCTTCTTCTCCGTCGACCCCCAGAGCGGTACGGGCAGACGCCGCCGGGGGCAGTGGGGGGGGTGAAGCCTGCTGGGGGGTTGGGATGCAGGTGGGCCATATAGGGTTGGTGTTGGGGGGGGAGGAAGTGGGGGGTGTTTGATGTGGGGGGTGATGTGGGGCTCACCTGTGTTCATCTCCCATCCCCTGTGTGTCTGTGCCATGCCTGGAGTTGGGTCTCCTCTGCTGGTCTCGAACCCACCTGCCCCTGCTCATGGCTTCTGTGGCCGCCCTGTGTGTCTGTGAGTGTCCTCCCTCAGCAGCGTCCGTCCATCGCCTCATCCACCCGTCCGTCCGTCCAACGCCCGAGCCAGCCAACCAGCCATCCAGCCATCCATTCACCCATCCGTCCATCCCTCCACCCGTCCATCCACCCAGCCGTCCATCCATCCATCCACCCGTCCGTCCGTCCGTCCGTCCGTCCGTCCAATGCCCCAGCCAGCCAGCCAGCCGTCCATCCATCCACCGTCCGTCCGTCCGTCCAATGCCCCACACAGCCAGCCAGCCAGCCAGCCAGCCGTCCATCCATCCACCGTCCGTCCGTCAGTCCCTCCGCCCGTCCATCCACCGCCCCACCCATCCGTCCAGCCATCCATCCATCCATCCACTCGTCCGTCCATCCATCCGTCCGTCCGTCCGTCCGTCCGTCCATCCATCCATCCATCGCCTCATCCACCCGTCTGTCCGTCCGTCCATCCATCCATCTGTCCGTCCATCCACCCGTCTGTCCAATGCTCCACCCATCCATCCATCCATCCGTCCGTCCATCCATCCACCCATCCGTCCATCCGTCCGTGCATCCACCCGTCCGTCCATCCATCCATCCATCCACCCGTCTGTCCATCGCCTCATCAACCCATCCGTCCGTCTGTCCCTCCACCCGTCCATCCAACGCCCCACCCATCCATCCACCCAGC